TGATATGTATTATGTCAGCTAAAAATATGCCTAGCTCAACATTAGGTGCACAGAAAGTCAGTGCTCCATTTTTTGTACCAAAATGTGCCACAGCTAATTCACCCATGTTTGATTCATGTGCAAAAATATTGTCCCAGATAGCATAGAATACTATGTGACAATACTATCTCAGTTGTTTGCCATGAAGTTTACTTGGGTGTGGTACTTAGTAGCAAGTTTACTTTGTGTGTGTGTGGCACACATGTGACCATGGATTTTCTGTCACTTCCAATGTAATACACATAAAGCCACTCCCCTTCTTTTGCAGCAAGTGTCACAAGAATCTCATTCTGGTACATTTTAAAATAAAATTCCTTCAATAATATAATGCTGGAATGAACGAGTTAGAAAATGAGTAGGCAATAACCAACAAAATTCATGAGAAGAGAAGAAGCCTGAATGGCACAGAAAATTTGTTATTTTAATCTTATCAGCAATGTCCAATGTGAGGGGTTTGTCTTGAAGAATAATGTGATTGCACTTCTACAAGGCATTCCTACATTTTGTTAGCTTTCTTTCTTACTTGTATTACTGTGAAGCACATTTAACCATCCAGTAATCCTGCTAGATTACATCCTCATGTTTTTGCAGGTTGTGTTGTAGTGCTTTTGTAGTCTACCCTCTTTGGCTTGAAGGATTGTTTATAAAGTTACCATGTACTGTTTTCCAATGATATCAATTTTCAGAGACTTCTTTTTTCTCTTGTCAGGATGTGGAATTATGAAAAATAAATTTTAAGATTTTTTGTTAATTTCATAACTCAACCAATTTAAACTGCTGTACTACAAAAAATGTCAGATTTTGGTTCTAAAAAAGTCATTAATTTACTCTATAGTCATTTAAGACCTATCATGGTATGAAATAAAAAGAAATAACCACTGGATAACTTCATACCAAAGTCTATTTTGTGATTCTTTTTAGTTTGTCTAAACTTTTGGATGACTTTTTTAACATCTTCTTAGCCTTACACAGGCTGTATACTTGATACAGTATCATTTCTTACTTTGGCATTAATCCAATTCGCATACCATATTTTTTGAAGTGGAATTCAAGAAAATTTACATTGGCCCTAAAATTGAAACCTTTCTTTTCTCAATGACATTGACATTCACTGTATATGCTTTTTGACACTTTAAACCAGTGCAAACCAGCTTGAAAGTTCATGAAATTAGTTTTAAAGACTTAGGCTACGGCAAGACTAAAAGCGTTCATGCATACACTGGCTGACGCTTCAAGCAGAGCGGCCCCGAGCCGCGCGTATTGTGTCTAAACTAGACGCTGGACCGCACAGCTTACTGCGAGTCGATGTGTATAAATGAGTGACAGCAAGAGACTAATAGCCATTCTATTTGATGAAAGTTTTATAGGGCAATAAAAGATGAATAAAAAATCCCATATATACTTTGTTTTGTCTTTTTGGGAATCCATTCAGATGAGATTAGATAGATATTTGATAGGTTATATATGATCATGATGCATGCCTCGCGAGTCGCGATGAAACGCCAATTGTGTTGGTAGGAGATGAAGCTTACCCATTGCTTCCTAACTTGATGAGACCATACCCCTCCCCAAAAAAAAACTTGGATGAAAGCAAGAAAATATTCAACTAGACTATCAAGAGCTCGGCATTGTGTAGAATGCGCCTTTGGAATTATGACTTCAAAATTCAGAATTTTAACAAAATCCATCAATACCAGCGTGGATAATGCTGTAGAAATAACTAAAGCAATTACAGTTTTGCGCAACATGATTATTGTTAGGGAGAAATTTTATTAAGACGCGGCATTTACATCAATGGAATTAAATACAGCAAATGAACAACACGAAACTATAATTGCTCCTGTTTGTATAAACAGCTCTAGAATTGCAACAGATGTTCGAAAAAAACAAATTAGCTATTTCGTATCAGATGCAGGACAAATTGCTTGACAGTATCATATGCTCTAAATAAACAATAAGAATATCCAAGTACTTTGAGTTCTAAGTTCGTTCACTTCTATTTTCTTTGTTTAATAAAAGAATTCAAAAAGAATATATTATTACTGTTCTTAGCTGAAATATTGAGTTACTGGTATATATTATTACTGTTCTTAGCTGAAATATTCTGGTTGCCAATGTATGTCGTATCACTGTGCTGTGGGTGAGAGGCATCCCAGATTGCAGGTACCACCTCAACTGACGAGAGCAATGCTTCGACATCCATCACTCATGGCTGCTTCAAGGGCACTGCACGTGTGTGTCCTCGTCAAAATATTTGTCTAGACTAGAATAATGTCAATTTTCCACCGCGCGGCAACGCGTGTGTACGCTTGAGGCAGCTTCAGCCTGTAAGCGTTTAGTGTGGCTACTCTGATAGAAATACATTCATATAATATTGCAGCGTGAGCGCACGTACGCCTGCATACGCGCCAATGCTTTTAGTCTGGCTGTACCCTTAGTCGTTACAAACAGCCCAAAGACAAATGTCTGGAATGAGGGCAGCAAAAACCTTGGACTTGTGCTTTGTAATGTGTTTGCTTTGGCTATTGAAATATATTAAAATATACTTTGCACTTTGAAAAAAAGATTAAATGAGTTTGCATATATCACTTTAAAGTCATAAGGGAACACAAGGAACATTTTTTGGAACATTTTTCTGCAACCCAACGGATTGTTTTTACAAAAAATTTCTACTATGCATACTTCTGTTTTCTATTTGAATTCAGAAAGCAGTACATGGTCGGAATTTTTTTAGCATATGCAGTTGGAAATGGCTAATGTGTAGGAAAAACTTCTTAAGTTTCCTGACTTTTTCTTTAAAGCATAAGAAGAAACAGGAATTTATAGGAAGTGAGTTTCTTTAGAGGAAGTGATTTTTAGAGGAAGTGGGTGATGGCTAACTCATCATCTGAGAGAAGCTTGTTTCATATATATATATATTCAATTACTAATTTATTTATTTGATGTGTCAAATGGGGTAATGAGCGACATGCAGGGTAAATTGGAACAGTCCACCATAGCATTAAAATGTTATAGCAGCAAAACTAATTGAAATATTGTAAAAATAAAAATAGTGGCAGGAACTTCAACATTTTACCTATCAATGTTGCATAAAATAACTTAATTAATAATACATTTATCAGCTCTAGAAAATCCCTGAAAATAATGTTGTAATGAAAGCCTATATTTTGAAAAAGTACTTATGCTAAGGTCGGTAGTAAGAAAAATATTTGCTGTATTTAAAAATTTTGCTTGCAAAAAAGTTACAGACAGGGTTTGGCTTCAAACTTCATTGATGGAATTTTCATACCTCAATCCAAAACAAAATGGCAGCCATTTCCACACAATGGTGTAATAAGGGACACCCCCTTCCCCCCCAGGGTAATACTAGACACAACCCTGAAAACCGCATTTACAGTAGAACCTTGGTTGCAGTCTCTGGTGAACAAAAAAATAGATTATGAATAAATAATTTTTATTACATTTACCTAGCTCAGCAAAATGAAAATTAACTATATTAATTGTATTATAAATTAATTAATAAAATTAACTAAACTATGATTTATTTCTCATAAATATATGATATTTGTCACTAAAATAGTTCTTTTTATTTCAGGTACCTTATGTTATAATGATCTTTTTTTGTTATAGTGAATTCACTTGACCCTATTAAAATGGTACAAAATTACAAGTTGTCCTGTAAGCTTGCAGATACAGAAGAAAGGCTATACGGCTGCTGATACAACATACAACTTGAAATAAAACTTAATTTTAAAATGTTTGAAGCATGCAGAGTGTACTCATCCATTACCAACAGTACTTCAAAGTCTGCTTCCTTTGTAGATGATGTAGATGTAGAATAAATGACATTTTCTGTGGTTTTTGCTTGTTTTTCCTTTATTGATATTTGATAATATATTACCATATCCATGGACATGCCATTCAGCATTGGCAATGACCTTGTCCACTGCAAGCTTACAGGAAGGCTTGCAATTTTGCACCATTTAAATGGGTCTTGAAAGTGAATTCACTACTGTATAGAAAAAAATCATAAGAAACATACTTGAAACAGAAAGGAATATTTTAGTGACAACTATCATATATTTTGCAGAAATAAATCATAGTTTAGGTTAATTACTTTTCATTCTATGTTGCCCCATGGACAATTCTATCTATGACATTCTTTGCACAATGTTGTGAGAACCGATGGTGCATTAACTTTTTGTCGAGTGAATTTTTTTCACCAAGCGAGGTATATGTAATCAAAATTTTTTGGTGTTAATTGATTTTTTCCTCAATTTGAGCCTTTGCTAATCAAGGTTCTACTGCAAAGCTGTTTGTAGTTGTGTCCCTTATTACCCTGGGGGGGGGTGTCCCTTATTACCCCCATCTTGCGGAAAGGCCACCATTATTTTTTTGGAATGAGTTAAGCAAATTTCATCAATCACATTTTTAAGCCAACACCTGTGTGCAACTTCTATGTAAGCAAAAATTTTTTTTTATTTATTTTTTTTTGCTACAGTCCTTAACAGAGGTATATATATACTTTTCTAAAATCTAAATTTTTGCATTTTTACACAGCTTTTTTAGAGGTAGTAAATGTATGATTTCTTAATTTGCTTTATGCTACATAGATAGTAAAAATGTTAAACTTTACGCCACTATTTTTAATTTTGCAATATTTTTATTAGTTGAGCTGCTACATTTCTACAAAATGTGGGACTACTGTCCCAATTTACCCCACCCATCCCTTATTACCCTGTTTGATGGTAGTATTATAGTTATATTCATTTTTTAATGCTTCTATAGATCTTGCTCTTTTTAGCACATTATCTAATTTATGGAAAAAAGCGCTATTGTGCTCATGTCCATCTGTCTGTCCGTAACTTCACATTTTCATAGACAAGAAAATGCGCACTCTGTCACTCACTGCAGTGAGTACTGAGATTTTTTTTATCTTTTTAATCCTGTTTTTAATTATATTTTTTATCTGTTTAATCCTGTTTTTAATTATTATCAGAAATCAATTGCTAGTACTTGTTTATAGGACATTCTTTGAAAATTTCTGTTCATGGTTGAGTGAGAGCAACCTGAACATTAGCATAATGAACAATTCACCTATTGACCGAATACAAGCACTGGACAATATTGAAAAAGACATTGCAAATGTTCTTCAATGTGCTGGTAAGTTTTAATTTCTAGAATTGTTTGGATAATAATTCACAAATTGGTAGTGTATTAATGATTTAATTTGCAGTTTAAGTCAGCCGAAAATGACTTGTGAATGCTTTTGAATGGCCATGGAAACCCATTTTTAAGCCTAATTTTTTTGTATGTTTTCAATTGTGAAATTCACAGAAAACTTGATTAATTGCTAGCACTGCAAGTTAACTGCTCTAGACTTGATTACTCATAGAGACCTGAATGCTTGATTTGTTCTTGTGCTTGAACATTCCTGAAAATTTAAATTATGATTATGTAATATTTTTGCAAGTTTAGAGCTCATATTTATAGCACAATAACTAAGGAAAATGTGTTCACTCTAATGACCATGAAGACTGCAGAAGTACAAATATCTCTATAGCATTTCACACATTTTTTTTAAATGAGAACAAAGACATATCAAGCTATTCAATCATATTGTTGAGACTTGCTGACAAATCTTAGCTAAACTTATATTCACAAGTATATTTTGTATGGATATCCACTATATTTTATAAATCATAGCTAAACTTGTATCCACAAGTAAATTTTCTAAGGATATCCTTATAATTTTTCCAGGCCAGAGTCTTGCAGAATTGAGTAAGGACAAGCCTGCCAACAAGCAGGTTGAGACCCACACGACTCAGTTCCTTAAGACCCTCACCAGCGTAGAGACGGAACTCAGCAAGCAGATCAGCTACTTGACCCAAGTGTCAACAGGTACCAAATAGTTATACAGAAGACACTACAGATGTCCTGGCATCGCCTCCAGCACATCAAGAATGAAATATCAGAGCTGGAAAGACTGAAGAATATGCACAACCATAGATGATCCCATCCTCGTTGTGACATTTTCTTCCCATCATTTATTAAGTTTCTTTTTATTTTCATCGAAACTATTTTGAATTTTTTTACTCGAGTTGTTGCTTATATATCGCCTTCAGAATATGTTTTAAAAGGAAAGTATAATAATCGTGGTTCTTCATAATAGTGTTACCACCACTTGTAAATGATTTAGTTTTGTCAAAGTTAAGAATAACTCTGTTCTGGGTTGACAGTCAAAACCTTGAATGGATCTGTCTGATCTACTAATTTATTGTAGATAGACCTGAGGGGTTTTGGTTCATTATTTGGGAACCAATACCCTTCATTTACATTAAGTATGCATCATAACTGAAGCTTCTCATTAATGTTAACTGCTTATCGCTGAAGTTCTCACTAAGACGGTAGTAATTCCACCATCAGAAGGGAATAATTTCTTTGCATTCTTCGATAATCTGTTAATTTGATGGTTTCTTCCCTATGTGTGAGTTCCATATGTAAGAAGTCAGAGCTAAATCAATTGTATATCACACTAGATAATACAATAACTATTATAATCAACTCGCCTCATTGCCTTAACTCATTATTTTAACATAACTCGACATTTGTGATGGCTGTCTTACAGAGATATAATATAATAGCAGCGTTTGGGTATCTCCACAATTCTTGCAGTGAAATCATATACGAAGTGAACTAATAAAGCACCTGCTTGGAAACACTAATATTGCTGACAATTCTCATTGGCTGAAAACGAACGGTAACATTTTAATGGCTGAGTATGTATTTTAATTCAATAAAGGGATTAGACTTGTCCTATAATTCCATCGCGCTATAGATTTATTTTTCTATCACCTTTGACTTTTTCACTTTCTTCGGGCCTCTCTTCCGATTTTTTGTCTTTTTTGACAAACTTGGAACTCCGTCTTCAATGTTTGATGCCTTAATCATGTGGCACTGCTGCGAATCTTGCGTGCAATTCTTCACAGCTTTGAGTTTCTTTTCAACAATCTGAGCTTTATCGTGACTGCATTTTGCTAGCGCAGGCGGTATTATCTTTCCATCTTCCGTTGCAGTAATTGATTTTTTGGGCCGCTTTTTCTTAATAATTCCTTCATCGCAGTTTACCTCGAGCCTTATAAGTTTCCTGTGCATAAATTTTGTTACACATTAAACATATGATGAGAGGAAGAAATTATTGTTTAGAAGAAATTCGGCCACAAGAAATATGAACTTAATAAGCCAATGCAAAACAACTTCAAAACTAAAATTGAAGAATAATTTTCACTGTTTTTTTTATCTAACGGAATTCTTAAGACGTTTTTTTGGTTAATAAAGCTTGAACGATGTCCTTGAACTTGCATTTTCATAGTAACTTATATTGTAACGTCTAAATACTGATTTTTTTATGTGAGGTAATAACGAATGATGGATTCAATATTGATATGTTATCACAAAACGCACTTGGGATTGACGTTGCGATGTTCAGCGTAGCGACTCGCCAGCGCCCCGGTAGCCAGGAGCTGTTCATCCAGAGCAACTTGCTGGCATCTTTCGCTTATGACTTCCTCCTGAAAGAATTTCAATTTTAAAATCAGTTATTGAATCTATTTGAATCGCATTAACTGATGTAAGAATCGAGCAGAAGTACGTCCTTCATAAATTCATACATAAAATATGACGTCTGATGTGAATTGATCATTAAATACTTGAATGTTAAGAGAAAGGTAAATTTTTCAAGCGGCTTTCAATCAAGGCACTCAGGGAGCGTAGCTGTTTAGCTTGCTGTTGCCACAAATTTTACTCTCAAACTAGCCCACTAACCCTGTTGCCAACGATTAGCATAAACATGCACAGCTATACTTGGCCTCAGAGCTACAGAAAAGCAAGCCGAGTGCACAAGTGGCAAGAGTGCTGCAGGCAAGTTACATTATTACCATAGCCTTTATAAGCACAAAATTTGTTTTCATCATTTATGATACATAGGGCATTTAAGGGGTAAAAACTAGTACTGTACATCATCATCCTTTACTGAAGTCAGCTTTGTCTTTATGGATTTGTCAGTTTTTTTTTTTGGTCGTGATAAGTGTGGAGGTAGGTCACGTAGGTGCATGCTGATGTTTCACGCCCATGAAGACTCCTCTTACTCCAACAGTGGTTACAAATTTGTGGCTCTGTGTATGGGTTTATACACTTAACTTTATAAGCTACTCGACTCTGTAGCATGCTTGCCTGTGGGACGATATATCGTAGTGATGTCATTGGGTAGTGCTGGCCACTTACATGCATCTCATCACTCGAATTACTTAAGAAAAAATGAACGTCACGATGTTAAATGCATATGAAAAGCAAAAAATACATATTTCATCAATTTTGGGACTCGCCTCATCAGGATGAAAGTAAGAGAAGCCATATCGACGCTGGAGTTTCCTGAGCCACGCGTCTGACACGCGCGGCAGCTCGCCGTCTTCTGAAGCTTGACGCGTCACGGTCACGTCTGGCAGGAGTTTGAGGTCGTCATCGCTGGTAGCGTTGATACGGACTTCAGAAGACGTGGTTTTTTCTGGTCCATCGCTGCTCCGAATTGTAACTCTACTGGAGTTGACAAGCAAATGAAATTGGATAAAATGGCGCACATACGGCAAACATTGTTTCGTTGGTTTTTAAATTGATTCAGTGGTCGAAATTACACTTCACTTTTATCGACCATTCTAGCCGCTAAAATATCTGAATGCGTGGAAAAACCAGTTGGTTTTTCATGTCGTAGGCAGCATGTACATAATAAATATGTTCTTTTAACCAATATAAATGAAAAGCTTCGAGCGGACATGAAGATTAATTTCATTTATGCAAATGCGACACCCGTGAACAGGCTAACGCATGTTTTTTTAGTTTACTTCGTATTTCTTACAAAGGTAAATTCGCAAGCTACATGAAATTTCTGAAAAAAAACATCAATATTAAATAATAATGATAAAGCGCTGAATAATATGCCATGTTATGCCGCTTGCCTTTCCGGATATCAGAATTTAACAGCTAGCTGCTGGTTTCGGACCCAAAACTCGCTACTGCAATTTTGGCGATCTTAATTAACCATTCAGCCACCCAGAATATAACATTGAGCACAAGTTACCTGCTCAGTATTTCAGCGGCGAGTGAAAGGACGTACGAATGACCCGAGAGAGAAGCTGAAGTTGCACCAGGCCTGATGGAGGCTGCATGCGTCACCACGTGGCTACGACCTCCTAAAAGTTGCACTTGATGGCAAATATAACAAATAGTACACAAAATAAATTGAGAACAGAAAAATAGTGCACAAAATACCATTTATAACACTTCTAGCTTTGTGATATGAAGCAACTAATAACGTTCAATTAGTATCCAAAATAATAATGAACAAATTTAATATATTCATCACCCAGAACACAAGAGGCTTTGTTACCGTCACAATATTTACCTCTCACGGCACGACAGGCTGTCTTAACGTCACAATATTTACCCCCTCACGGCACGACAGGCTGTCTTAACGTCACAATATTTACCAACGTTATGAACGTAAATATTGGCGTACAGCGATGGCAGTGGTACCATTGGAAAGAGCAGAATTCCAGCTTTCAGATGAGCACAAAAACCGGAAAAGGCCAAAATTGAAAATTTTAGGGTAGCCGGTCCCCTCAACGTCACAATATTTACCCCTCCTGGCACGACAGGCTGTCTTAACGTCACAATATTTACCCCTCACGGCACGACAGGCTCTCTTGTCACAATATTTACCTCTCACGGCACTACAGGCTCTCTTAACATCACGCAGCACAAGGTCCAACTCAGTGTCGCCAGTGACGCAGTCCACGGCCACGCTGCGATCGTCTGTCAAGATGGCGCCACTTGTCTGGTAGACGCCAGCCAAGGAAGGGTCGCACGCAGCGCTAAAACTCGACAGATCAAAGTCTTCGTCCGCTGAGGAATCGCTGTCTAATGCTCCAGCAATTGTCGACTTCATTATAGAAATAAGCAATAGATCGATAGTGATTTCAACAGGGCTGATGGCTAAATCGTTCAGGAACTTTAGTACAGAATGAAAATACAAGACACATTAATTCTAGTTATTTCACGTTCATGGAGTCTGGAGACATCTTAATTTTGTTTATTTCACGACCATAGGAGACATATTAATTTTATTAATTTAATTCCACGTCACACTAAAGTTGCTTGTACACGGGGATAGTACAGCGAATAATTTCCTCACAGCGAAACGAGTTGCTTTCGATGATACATGGCGCGGACGATATCTATTTTATTAACCGAGCGTCCATCTATACTTCTATAGAGAAATAATTGACCTATAAATCCAGGAAATAACTTGCCAGGAATGCCAACGCTGTGAACAGCAGAGCTCGGGACCCCGAGGTCGCCATCCCCGTGACGCAAGCGTCTCCCTGAGGGGTTTCTTCATTACCATTACTTCTGAGTAAATTTTCCTGGGAAGCTAAGCATAACATTTGGTACATCACCCTAACGCACACAGCGACCGACGACAATGCAGGAGAAATGACTTCAATTCGGCAATCTGTGTCAATAAATGGAATTACAGCCAGTTGAGTGCGATAACCAATGTCTTGGGTGAGCACATGCCTAACAATGCTGGTATCGGCTGAAAGATATTGTTAACGAGGGATAAATGAAAACACATTGTACGTGACAATATATTATACTGAATATCTATTAGCATTTCGTAGAGCTTTAATATCGATAAATACAAGAGACTAGCACGCGCAGGAAGCAAAACTACGCAGAAAATTACTAGTGGATCTTCACAGCAAATAGTCTGAAGGTTAACCGGTAGCGTCCTATGGATGATTATCGTATTCGGTAATCACCGTGTGCACACTCAGGCTTCATTAATCAATAGCCGACAGATGGGCAACTTAGGTAAGCTTACTTTTACTCGGCTGTCAAAAATAGTACATTCCAATGTTTTTGTCACTCAAGTATCAAGGAGACTATATACAGTTTCAATTCGAAGCCTAGGACAAGTCGCGACGTTGACAAAGAGGTCGGTGACAGAAACATGTTAGAGCCCCGCTTAAAGTAGTGACTTGTAGCTGTCATAAAGAGAACCTTGCATAGCCTAACCCATTTTATGCATGGAAAAACACTTAGCCTATCCGTCAACCAGCGGGTGACCACAACAAACTTCAATAATTAGCTTAACATCATCGCACTTGCGACGAGCGCCTTGACACGATCAATGACATTCGTCTACCCTCATCTCATGCGAAACTTTTGTACAAGCGCTGCATGAACCATTGAGCTGCAGCAAATGTCAATGGGAGGATCTGAGCTGTTGACACGAAAGATGATGGTCTTTGCAGAGACAATCCTGCTGAAAATGATAGATTTTTTGCAAGTAATAAAAACTGAAGATGAGGCACAGAAATTAGTGCAACTAGACTATTTTAACCCTTGCTAGTGAGATGCATCGTAGAACCAAATCACAATATGAGTTAATGGAGAAAATATGCTTGCGGCAGCTGCATGGTCTTATATACATAAGGAAAGTTAACAAGAGTCAATACATTAACCCTGCAGCCAGAATATGGATACGTGAAAAAAGAACTCGATGCATTCAATTGAAGATATCTACATGAAAGAAAATAGACGCACAAGAAGACAGATTTAAAAGTTTACAATTTGTCATCGCAACAGTTCACACGCTGTGTTCATGCAAAGAGGTTGAAGATCTGGATAAGGAGATGATGAATACTTCAGAAATTAGGTACGTATGCAGGAATAGGAAATAGAGACAGGAAGTGGGTGAAGAGAACTACAAAGTAATTCTTCCGACCTGCTTAGATATTGCAGAAAATGTATGGATTTAACTATAGCAAAGCATTCAAGGAGTGGCTGGTTTCACACTCGCACGCACCTCTTACTAAGAAAACGTACCAATCAAGTTGATAAACAAATTAAATAAAATCCGTTGATACAAAAACTCCAATGACGACTCCAAAAAATTATTTTGATATACACTATTGAAAACCATTCAAGAGTTGAGAAGTATCTTTTGCATCAAAAGTAAGGGAAAATTCTCAACAAAATTCTGACATTAATCAAGAAGCTTCCCGAATATACAAGTTATTTTGCCAGAACTCCTAACAATCAAACATACAGAGCAATAGGAGCTATATCATATTAACCTCTACTGATCGCAGCAAAAGTTAAAAATCTGTGACGTGGTTGCGAACAGTAGCTTTGTCATTTTTTATGCTCACAAGTCTACCTTTCTCCCGAGTGCATTACCCAAAAATCTTGAACAGCACAATAGTCATACGACGACTCGATCTTGTCTCACATCATAACACGAAAAATGCAAAATAAAATAGAAATTGGTTGGTTGCTGCTGTAATTTTTGGCCGAGCTGATGTGTCTCACGCAAAGACAAGCTGAGAGCTAACGAAGAGGCTATAGTAATGATTATTCACACATTAGCATGTTATTGCAGATACATAAACTTTATAGCCGGCATCAAATGATATAGCTGTGATTCAAAGATGAGAACTATAGACGAGCTTCACCAAATTAACTTGAAATACAGTGATCCATACAAAAAAAAGCTTGCAACAGCAAGCCAAACTTTACAGAAAAATTGACAGTGTACAGCATTGTGAGTGGAATCTTGAAGGCTGGTCGCAAATGATCAGATGAACGAATATCCGCTAACCATTATTAAATTTCTATGGCAGTGAAGCTTCAAACAATATTCAGTGCAAGCTCTTAAAAAGTTAATATATAGTACAGTAAATATTGAAAGTGATCAAGAGAACCAAATACAGGCCTCAAATACAGAAAAAAAAAAATGCGATTCGAATATCAATCCATTCATCACATAGAAAACAAAGGATGTAAAAATTCAATCCTTAACATGACTTTCAATCCAATGAAAAAATTCCTTTTGAAATTCCATAAAATAGCCATCGACTTAAGAGGATGGAGAACAAGATCATTCTTACGATTTGGTCAACTTAAACCATGAACATTTTCAATGACTGTTCTCAACATTGACGCAGGACGTAAGATTATGCAGTGAACAGTTTCACTGGTGATCGTCACCGCAGCAGAATATTGAGAACCTCAATCTATCCTCAGAAATTATCACTTCTTTCTTTTTCCTTTGGAGGTTCAGAGAAGATATATTCTTCGATGTTCTCAACGTGATTTCAATAGCACCAGTTCACATAAGTAGGCATTTGTCGAAAGGAGACTACTCCGAAGTTAGGCACTTTCATTGCCCACATAGAAAGTTCTATCATGACAGGAATTTAGCCGCAGTGCATATAATTTACAGTAATAACTTTTTTTTTTAAATATGAAAAATAAAAGATTGTGACAAGGAATATGAACCCAAGAGGGAACTCGCAGGAGATGACATTACCTGCACTCTAAAAAATGTTCCTTAAAAAAATTAGATAGTTTTAAATATCAAACAAATAATATACGGAAGGATCGAGGCGTAGGGAATGCACATCACAAAAGAAATAAAAAATCTCACAGAAAGGATCAATCTTGTCTGAATGAATAGTGTGGAATTGGTCTGCAGGTTTTGAAGTTCTCTGGTGACATGGAAGTTCTCAGGCGCGTTGAGAGGAGCTGCTGGTTGAGGCGCCAGCACTGCCCCGTTGGCTGGTGCTGATATCCGTCTGTACAGATCACTTCATTAAAGCTTTACAAGCCCATGGCTACAAATTAATTTGCTCATTTTAAACCAAAGCACATAAATTGATTACTAGGTGCTACAATATCAATAACAGAATTACCGAGAAATTAGGCAGAAGCGATAATTTCCTCCGAAAGTTGACAGAGCTGATAAATTATTATTAATTACTGCGATGAAATAAAGTACATGAGGCAGGCCATTGTACTGTATCCATCACACTCGTATACAAACAACATGAATTATTATCAATTACTGCAATGAATTAAAGTACATGAGGCACGCCATTGTACTGTATCCATCACTCTCGTATACATACAACAAAGAAGGAAGTTTTTAACACACCTCCATGGGCTGAGGGTCTTGCTGCACTCCGCTGTTCTGTGCCTCCCACTCCCGCAGCGCCTGGTCAAGGTTGTAGCGCTTGCGGTATGTAGCGAAGAATGAACGCACGTGATTCTCGGACTTATTGCCAATTATTTCTGCCAGTGCTTTGAAGTCGCGTCCATACTGACGCACACCTGGAGAAACGGAGAACATGGAATTCATTGGATCATGGTTATTGATTAACTTGATTTTAACTTCAACTCTACCCTCGAAGTTCGTTTAAAGTAGACGCCACGATAACTGCTACGTAGAATATTAATAACTTCATAGAACATGCAAAATTTGATTTATTACATGTCTTTAAATTGGAATTTGATTTAATAGCTTCCAGAAATTCATATGGTAGAGGAGTAAAAAATACGCTTGAACTTCATACTCCCACACGCGCATCAAGTATATGAACACGGTGTTACAGTTAAAGTTACCTTGAACAGCAAGAAGAAGTTCGTCGTTGCTCCACTTTGCATTGAGACGCAGAGCGGCGCATGAAGGTCGGTAGTCTGTGATACCTCCAGACGCAGCAACACGCGTTCGTAGGTAACTAAGTTCTGCTTTATTAGCTTGTACCTGCACACAATTGATAATGACAGCACACTGACTGATGAATAATGGCAATTTAATAAGCGGAGAACCTACAAAAATTTCACTCATAACTTTAATTGTCTTGCTGAGATGGCATAGTTTGACACTCGTTTCAGTAATGACAATTGAAATAATCTAACAAGTCTCATCTTGAATTGACAAGCAAAACATTCTTTACTAAAACAGCTAGCCACACCAGCATGCAATATTTTCCACACAATTACTCCTCATTATCTGACATTGAAGTATTTCATTGACAGATGTTGCGGCAACGTCATGCAGAACAACAAAATAATTGACGGAACTGACCTGCCGTTTGAGGGCAATGACTTCGTTCTCGACGCGCTTAATGATAGGATGTTGAGCGCCGTGACTTGCACTGAAAGCCGAAGGACCGACGTTGTTCTTAGAGAACACACTGCCGGAGCTGGCTATTGCCATCAGGTCCTGTATGCAATGAGATTTAGTAGTACAAACAAAGAGGTCGAAAACTCGAAAACGATAATATAAATACGTTTCGTCCACATGACCGGTACTATAGCCGTTAAGCACTAAAAATATGGGATAAAAAATAAGATTATATACATTGCTCAACGACAACTCAACATTTTGGAAGAACTTTGAGTGTAATAACACATTAAATAATATTTTGAGATGTAACACTGAGTCACTGAAATATCAAGACTGTTTATGATGAAAAAATACAGTGACTTCTAACATTATTTCTCATCGAGAACCTGGATTTGAACTTAAGTATCACCACCTTCCCTCAACCACCCAAAAACAATTGAAATGTTGCTACCGCATATGAAAAAATGAAAAGTTAGTTTTTCTAAGAGAACAACACAATATATATTGTCCAAGGATTTGCAGTTTTTAGGACCTTCTATTTAATAAGCAAAGAGGACACTATGTGAAAACGTTCAAATTTATGAAGATATTTAACCCATTAAACACAAAGGCTGAGAGTAACTCACCTCATTTTTGCCGTTGCCAAGGGCGGACTGGGCAGCTAACTGGGCGGCATGTTTCTTGCAATGTTTATCAAGGAGGGAATTTTTTTGACGGGTTTTCTTCCACAAGTAATAATATTTGACAAGCTGAGCAATACTTTTGTCAGGCAACTGAAATAAGGTTACATGATAATCATTAGCACTTGAATAATAATTCAATAAGTAATTATGAATTCATCATAATTCATCCACAATAAAGAGTTTTGCATTAATTATAAGAAAAGTTTGATATTTTGCTCACCATACTTTTATTACAGATGCAAAAAAGATAGCAAATACCTACTCTCTTCCTAGTCTTCATGCTACAATAAATAAGACTAAAAAAACTATAGAAATGGATCTTTTATTCCTGTCTTTCTGCAGCGGATCACATAATAACCCTTCCACTCTGATGGCTACAAATTGACGGTGGTTGGGAATATTAAATGGAAATATTAGATACACAAAGACATAATAAAAGATGTGGTCATGAAACACAAGTCCTGTACATACAAGATAATTATAATGAATGATTAGATATATCAGATCATTGTAATACAAGCAATTTTATTAGGCATCCATTGACTTGCAAGTTTCATAGTGTATATTTAATTATAACGAAATTAGTCAACATCTTCTTTTTCACCATTCATGGTTCAATGCAGGGCCGGGAAAACCATATAGAAAAAAATTTCAAGCATGAAGCAAGAAATGGGGTAACTCACCATCTGCCTTATCCTGGTGAATGTCTTGCCATGGAACATGAATGCTTGCTCAAAGAGAACCTTGTCTTCAGTCGTCCACTCGTCAGGCAATGGAGTGAAATTAGCGAGGTCAGAAGTGGCTCTCTCGAGATCATGTCTGTGCCAGAAGAGCATACCAAGCGCTTGCTCGGCATTATATCCATATTTGTCTTTGGCTAGCCATAGGTACTCCTCCACTGCAAGACAGAAGAAATCTTTGCAAATCTTGTTATCTAAGCTAAAATTATGGCAAATCTTGTTATTTAAGCCAAAACTGTTGTAAATCTTGTTAGCTAAGCCATAATCATTGTAAATCTGGTTTGCTAAGCCAAAATCATTGTAAATCTTGTTAGCTAAGCCAAATTTATAGTAAATTTTGTTATCTAAGCCAAAATCATGATAAATCTTATCTAAGCCAAAATCATGGTAAATCTTGTTATCTAAGCCAAATGGCAAGTAGTTTATATGGCAAAAACAGCCAAAAAAAAAAGAAACAGTAACAAGAATGCTTGATATGAAGAGAAACATTATTGAGAAAAATTATATTGAACACAAGGTAAGAGAGAATGAATCCCTTGCAATGTTGGAAATAAAAAACATCTTGCGGGTACCTTGAGGAGAAAAATAAAATCATTTACAACATGAAAAGCACCAAGAACACAAAGAACAGTGCTTGTAATAAATATATTCAAATGATAAAATTATGTTCTTATTCAAATTTTTAGTGATTTCATTCATTAGGTTATGTTGAGAATTTTATGTACGTATGCAAAAGAAACCACCCTGATAGAAGTTTCAAACATTACTTTTATCTAAACAACTTCACAAGAGTCTTGACTATTCATAATTTTGTTATATGCCTGAAGTTTAGCATGCTGTCCCCCCAGTCAGGTGAATTACTTAAATTTCAAGACCCAAGTGAGACTAAAAACTCACATTGATGTTCATACAGCGAGGAGTTGGGAGCCCAAACCAGCTGAGCTCTCTCAGGACATCGTTCCAGCTGCTCATCTGCAAAACAAAGTAACATGTATACATTGATTATATTATTTCTTTCTGTAGCAATTATGGACACAAAGAATTGTGATATAACTTATGAAAAAAATTGTCATTTTGATGAAGTAGATTTTGTTTGGAGACTTCCACTTTTTACAGCTTATTCTTAATTGAATAGAGTTTTATGTACAATTTTTTACAGAGTATTTTGTTTTTAGTGACAAGTGGCAAGGTTACCGTACTGCATGTAAGGCTGTATGTACTGCGTCTGCATGTACTGCATGTAAGGCTGTATGTACTGCGTCTGCATGTACTGCATGTAAGGCTGTATGTACTGCGTCTGCATGTACTGCGTGTAAGGCTGTATGTAGTGTGTCTGCATGCACTGCATGTGAGGCTGTATGTACTGCATCTGCATGTACTGCATGTAAGGCTGTACGTACTGTGTCTGCATGTACTGCATGTAAGGCTGTATGTACTGTGTCTGCATGTACTGCATGTAAGGCTGTATGTACTGTGTCTGCCTGTACTGCCAGGTAGCTACATAAATACCACTTGAGAGAATAGATACATACCACTTGAATGAAGAAGTTCAGGTATTTCTGCCTGGTATGCTTTGCCAACTCTTTTAGGGGCTTCTGTAAGGAAATAATTTGGATTGTAGGTACTATGATTATAAGGCACATGAAATGTACTGATTACTGAAGAATTAAAAAAATGAGTCCTATCACAAAATGATACTTTAAACTTATGCTAAATCTTTTTCTAACTTTGGTAGTACTAATGGTAGCCTACCAACCTTTTTGGTAAATTTTATGTTTGAATGGATTAGGCTATAGTCAAATTATTACCTATGTGAAAAGAATTGAATTCATCCAAGGAGTAGCTAATCTGTTAATGCAGTATGCACTTATAGGTACTTATTTATTATTCATTGACTTCCATTTCATTTGACATTTTTCAGCATCTGTTTCAGTGTTTGGGTCACTTTGAAGCTGGGTACATTACACATAGACATAGGTACCTAATTTGAACTCAGTAATGTTAATTAATTGCTGCAAGTAAGCAATTGAAAGCCACACCAGAACAAAATTAATGGTGAGAATGAATCATTCAGCAAATTGGGATGAAATTGTTTAAAATAAAAAATATTAGTCATTCGTCGTTACTTGAGCGATGGCATCACTAGTCCCAAGAGATCTATCAAGCTAAAATTTTTTAGAGATACTACAATGACCTTCAATAAACGCATGCAATAGATTTAATTGAAATTGTGCCCATACCTTCAAATGAAAAGTTCAGTAAAATGCATTGATTAAATATCAAAGTTCATGATATTCCTAAGAACTCACCGTCTTTCTCAGCATCTTCTCCAGCTCCAGCAGCTGGGGTCGAGGAGCTAACTGCTGTTAAATGCCCATTACTACCAATAATCGAGTGGGCATTTGTCCCACTACGATTTTTCTTCTCGTCTTTAAGCTCCCCTGCACTTTTATTATTAGCTGACACCATGTTTGTGTTTGGAACAAAATTATTTTACGCTCATAGCCCAGCTCAACAGTCAACACCACGATCGTCGGCCGTCGCCTTCGTCTGACTTCCTCATCCAAGTGCAGTTGTATCGAGTCTCGACGGTAGGTTCGGCTTGTAGGTCACGATTACGATCTTTAACACTCACGTCTTCCCTCAATTTGAACTAAATTTACCACCCATGTTAGATTTCTAGATTGTATCTCATAAATGGAGTATTTTTATTTCATTAAATTTCTAGAAATTTAATATACAAACTAAAAATATTTTATTCTAAAAACGACGGTAACAGCACATAATCGTTTGATCAACAAACGCGCTGTAGGGTGATGCATATTAGAAAATAATTATACTATTCCAGTTACCGTGAAACTTAACTTATTTGGGACTAAACGTAGGTCGTAAATGTCCATATAAAAATAAATTTAAGTAATTTTTTTTATGTTGTGCATTTCAATATATCAAAGTCATGGCGCTTCAGAGGCATGGTTGGGTATTTGAGGAACCGTGTCATCTCGTCTATGATTACAACAATTTCCTCCGATTAAATCGAGAAATTATTTTTCTGTTATAAATAAATGGATATTTCTGACTCAAGTATGGTTTGTAGGTACAAATTTGTCCTGCTTGATTAGAATTAATGCATATGACAATTCAAAACCTAGCCAAATCTTGGCCAGGAATTGTTTTTCACAATAAATGTTACCCAATGCTAATACAATTGAGCTATTAATGCTTATTGGACCAATTATTTCTGTGAACATGACTTCATAGAAGACTCCAGTCAATAAAGATTTTATCTAAAACTATTTCTCGTGGAGACAACTCAAGAATCGGCGACCGGCCACATCAGGCCTACTATTTAGCGCCGACACTAAGATAAAACGCACGTGGCATGCTTGACCACTCATGTTGAGTTTTCCATGCTTGACCTCTTCATGGAACATTTGGTTCTTTCTCAACAAGTCAGAGCAGCAATAAATATAATTATCTACCTCATTTTTAAACTCGACTGGAACAATAACGGCGACGAAACTCAGTTTATTTTTCCCAGGCACGCATGCGCACACGAAACTCCTGCAATTCATACGAGTTCCTAGATGCAGAAGCGATGAAGCAGTTGTTAGTTGCTGTCGTGCGCCCGAACCCAGAGTTTGGAAACGTTTTGTGGTCACCGAGATTTTAAAAGGACAAAAATTTAATACAGAATGTTCAAAGATGTGCAACAAGGATAATTCCAGGCATGAAGGGCAAGTCCAATGAAGAAAGATTATGAAGCTTCCAATCCTCAGTTATCGACGTCTGCGTGGGGACCTCATTGAAGTATACACGTATACTCATGTCATGGTTTATACAAGGTCCCCGAAGGATTACTGGAATTTGAAACAAGAACCAACACCAGGGGCCACGGTTATAAACTAAAAACTGCGTTGTAACACATCCATGCGACAACATTTCTTCTCGCTTAGAGTCACCGACATGTGGAACAGCCTCCCTGATAGCATCGTTGGCGCTCCGAGTATGAACGCGTTCAAGAACAGACTAGATAAAGCTATGGAAAAATATATGTTCAGATTTGAAATGCCTAGCTCCTTATCGAACCCAGTGGAAGTCTAGTAGCTATTTCAAACTATCGTCAGTCATGAAAAGATCCGGTCAAGTGACATGATTTTAGATCTGTGAACAAGACACGAAAAGTACAAAAATCTGCGACAGGCCACATCAGGCCTACACTGCAGCGCCGACATCACTATGTTATGTTAATTGAAGATGGGTGAAATTTTCAAATACTCACCGCACATTTGGTTTTATTTGATATTACGCACGGATACTTGAACATCGATTGATCCTTCATTTGCCGATATAATAAATAAATTGAAGCTCATATTTAACTGAATTTCGAATTTCATTGAAGTTGAAACTCGTTCAAAAGACTCGCTTGCCTCCTAAATGCGACATTAAAACAATGAAGATTTGATAGGAAAATATATTTAAAAAGCATCACAGTACATCAAGTTAGTCTGAAGATTCTATACTTAGAGTGATTGTTAACAGGATGCTACCAAAATCTAGCAGCACAGGTTAGTTGTAATAAAGAATGTGAACGAATTTGTTACAATGCAAAAATATTCACAGTTCAATAACATTTGGATTCCATAAATCAAGATGGGAAATTATACAGGCATTTCATATTTCATAACAACCGCGAAAAAAATTAACAAATTCAATAAGATGCCCTAGTAATGATCAGAAAAGTTTTCAGGATGACATCAATAAAACAGAAAAAACTCTTAAAGTGTTCTTCCTGAGGCATCAATCAGTCGTCAGCAAGCGGTATATTCAACGCCTGAGCTGTCTTCCAGAAACGAATTGCATGCTTTCACGAGTGTTGAACAATATCGGTAAAAAAACAGCCTTCAACCTGAAATTTGCGCACTTAACATTCAAAGATGAACAATATTCTCGCAATAATAGACGAACAAGATACGTTCACAGCCATGTTTGCTTTAACAAGATACATCGAGCATGGATCAAGCCAACATTCACATACACAAATATGTTACTTCTTAACATTCTATTATTGCACAACCATACGGGCTACTAAACTAATACTGAAGACGTCAGGAGTATATACTGATTCGAAGCATGCATAGTTCTTACGCAACGGATTTAGATTCAACAACAAATGAAAAGAACTGTGCACTTATTTCTTGGAAGAAGTTTAGTTCAACAAAAAAAGGTTGCCACTGCAGAAGAAATGTAAAACCTTGTTCCATAAATTGCTTCCTACACTTTAAATAATTTAAACTATGAAAAATAACAATAGAGAAATAGAGAGCGAGTATTGTACGTTACGATTCAAGGCCTAAACATAGGCATAGGAATCTCGAGATTCAGAGTATTGAATGGTTAAATATATTACATTTAATCTTTCGTCACGTAGCTTAACGCCATAACACTATTAAAAAATATTATGAATTTAGTAAGCATTATAAAAGTAAAGCATACAATTTAATTACTAATTGATGATAANCTGTTGTATAGTACCACTAGCCTACTCACCAGGCATCTGACGTTAAAATGACTTTGAAAAACTTTTTCAAATGAATCAACTCGAAGTTATTGTTGTTTCAACATCATTTGCCTGGAAACTTAGGTCTTAACTTCATTTGCCTGGAGACTCAAGTCTTACACTTCATTTGCCTGGAGACTTAAGTCCTAACTTCATTTGCCCGGAGACTCAAGTCTTACACTTCGAAGACGGCTGCCCAGTCTGGCAGGAAGAGGAGGTGCGTGAGGCCAGCTCCATGCATGCCCACCAGCACGTCTGTTGCGGCTATCGTGCGCAGCTGCAGCACCAGGTCCTGGCCGTGCTCAAACTCCGCCTGGGGCGTCGAGAGACACATCAACACTGGGGACCATTTTGGGACTAGGGAGCAAGACAAGCATATTTGGGACTGCTGAGAACAACTAGGTAGCATATTTGGGACTGGTGAGCACAACTAGAACATTTGGGTCTGGTAAGAACAACTAGCATTTGGGAATGGTGAGATCAACTATCTCATTTGGGACTGGTGAGCCCGACTAGCACACTCGAGACTGGTGAGCACAACTAGCACATTTCTTATACAACCAACCTAGAATTGTTCATCGTAAACAGGGGCCATACTTTCAAAACTCGTTAAGTGAACCTAACTACTTACGCTCTATTTTCTTGTCTATGATATTGGTGGATGTTGCTTGAAAAGCCATCAATGATTGGCTGATGAACTTACGATCTCTTAACTTTTTTTGTAAGTACAGGCCCATGACCAGTACTTACGACATTAAAGACGATGTCAGTCCTGCTACGCGCTGCCTGCACCAACTGGCGCTGGTTGAGGATGCGTCGGTGCTGCGTGTGGCGGGCGAGGAGAGTCACCCTGACGACGGGCAGCGCGATGCTCGGAGGCACCCGCAGCCTGTGCAGCATGTGGCGGTTGAAAGCGTGGAACAGCCCACTGCGTTCACAGCCCCACACCTGCACCCAGACATGCGCGTGAGGAACATGCATGGTAGAAATTACGAAGGGTGAAAACAAAGGACTGAAGGTGAATGGGGTATATAGGAGTAAATCCAGTTTGATAAATATAAATATTAGAATGAACTAACAAGAAAAACGAAAACTTTTACACACTGTCAATTAAACTACAAGCATGAAAAAAAAACTCAAGGCTCATTATAATAATAAAATGTCGATGTCAATGTTAACCTCGAACCTCAATTTTCCTATTCACGAGTACAAATTTTTTGAAATCCAAATTTCACTCGGCACCTTCTTAAAAAAACAATGCACGTCATTGCGAGACTCTCACCAAAGGCGTGTTGTAGTAAAGGCCGAATATCATGCGGGGAAGCAGTGGGAACATCACAAGTTTGAAACACAAGCGTTTCCCTGCAACATGGCAAGATTACAATTATTCACACTGAGTAGTAGCAGTAGGATGGTTTGCAAGCGCTTTAGCTATCAAGTACCGGAGTTTAAAAAAATAACATCACCAGCAAGGCGGAAGATCTCAATTATTGGGAATTTCTCAAAATGAAGTTCCCCCACAAGAGGCGGAATGGTTCGAGAGAAGCAGCGTTAGCATTTCGATCAAAGAGACGAGGTGATAAGGAGGAATTGGTGACAAGCAACAGAAATGAAGACACTCGAACAAGAGGCCGCTTACACGAGACGTCGGATGCCCGCACGAGAGACAGAAGACATTTTGTCTTCTCAGACATCGCGAGCTCTGGTCAGACCAGCGGTCAGACATCGCGAGCTCTGGTCAGACCAGCGGTCAGACATCGCGAGCTCTGGTCAGACCCGCGGTCAGACATCGCGAGCTCTGGTCAGACCAGCGGTCAGACATCGCGAGCTCTGGTCAGACCAGCGGTCAGACATCGCGAGCTCTGGTCAGACCAGCGGTCAGACATCGCGAGCTCTGGTCAGACCAGTGGTCAGACATCGCGAGCTCTGGTCAGACCAGCGGTCAGACATCGCGAGCTCTGGCGCTCAGGGACAATGTCCCTAGGAACGCGGAATCCCCTAGTGCTTCTGACGATATTGATGCATCGGATCTCATAATTTAAATAAAATTCCTGCAATACTTTTGGAATTGCTTAACGATAATCTTTTCATTTTGCAAGACATCAGATGGTTAGAATAAGCATTTAGTGCACACAGTCTGATGCAAAAGAAGCTAAACTTCAGACTGAACCTGAGGTTATAGGAATTTGAATTGAAATTCTATCGCAATGTTCTAATATGAGCAGGCAAATGTCATGGTCTCCAATTACCAGCCAAGGCGATGATTCAGTGAATACAAGACTTTCTTCCCGTGGAGGTTACCTTTCGGGGGATAGATTCTCTTTCATCAAAGGAAGAGTTCAGGGAAACTACAAACTTTATGATGAGGTTCCGCGCACATGCGACCGACCAGACTTGGGGCCGTACTATTGAAAATAATTTGTGACTTTGTCAACCTGTCACTGCCGGATTACCAAGCTAAACCAACCAATCACAGACAAGAAATAGGCTGCTAAGTGTATTTAGGCTTCTACGTGTATTTAGGCTGCTAAGTGTATTTAGGCTTCCACGTGTAGGTATTTAGGCTGCTAAGTGTATTTAGGCTTCCACGTGTAGGTATTTAGGCTGCTACGTGTATTTAGGCTGCTACGTGTATTTAGACTTCCACGTGTAGGTATTTAGGCTGCTACGTGTATTCAGGCTGCTACGTGTATTTAGGCCGCAACGTGTACTTAGGCCGCTACGTGTACTTAGGCCGCTACGTGTACTTAGGCCGCTACGTGTACTTAGGCCGCAACGTGTCGCTGTACACATGTCGGTCACAGTCGCTACATGTACCTAGATGTACTTAGCCCGGTACGTGTACTGAGGCCGCTACACGTGTACTTAGGACGCTGCACACATGTCGGTCACAGTCGCTACATGTACTTAGCCCAGTACATGTACTAAGGCGCGTCATGCTACTGCCACTCCTGACCTGCGAAGTCTGCGAGGGTGCGCACGGGGTGGCGCGTGAAGGCTCGCCACGCGGCAGCGAAGCTCGACACGTAAGGGTATGTTTCCCAGATCAAAACCTGCACATAACAAACAATAATTACTGAAATTCGTAATGTCCTTAACAAAATTTAGAGTCGCCCCAGCTTCTGGTAATCCAAATCAGAAGCTGCTGCGTCCGTAAATTTTTACTGGATTATCCTTTCCGTTATGGATAAGTTAACTTTTGGTAACGTAATTCGTTTAGGAAAAAATATCAACAAGAGTTAATGTCAGTACACAAAAAAAAATCAACCGTTAACAATAAGTAGAGTTATCGAAGTTTCACATAGACGCTTCAAGTCACATTTTTTATCAGACTTTCAGCCGATAGTTTCTTAGCACTGAAGAATAGACTGTAGTTAATTCCTACGGTCCAATTCCTATCTTCCGTGGCAGCGAAATATTTCGTTAAGCTCGCTTTATACTTCAGCGCATTCTATGTTCCTTGTAATACGATCTGAAATTGTATTTGTAATCATTCAAATCAAACATTTTCGTTATCTCTTGTAGGATAGACCATTTTTATATTTTCAAGATAAAGAGACTATTTTTTCCGGAAATAAGATAGAAAAACTTTGCCATACAAGAGTGTTGAAAGTTACGCTTAAGCCTCCAGGACTAACTAGTGAAAAACGAACACATATATGTCGTCAAATAAAACTTCCGAGAAAAGGAACTTCAAAGGGATTCATAATATTAAAAGTTCAAAGGGATTCATCATATGGAAATTTCAAAGAGATTCATCATATGCAAAGTTCAAAGGGATTAATCATAAGGAAAATTTTAAACGCTTCAACCTTGTAAATTTCAAACGGATCTACCACAAGGATATTTCAAATGGATTTATTTATTACGAGGAAACTTTATGGATAATTAAGGGCAAACTTTAGAAGGATTGGTCATTACGAAACTCAAATGGATATTGACTGTACAGGAATACGGCGAGACAGTTCCCGATACAATTTAACATGATAATATGTGAAGCTTTTACCATAATTACAATTCAAACTAGACTGACATAGCAGTTGACATTAGAGTTAGAGTGAGAATCACAGAACTAATTTTACTACGTTAGCAGACGCATTTAAGTTGTCATACAACCCAGTGGCAACATCGCTATAGTAGTGTAATAGGCAACAATAAGGCAGAGTTAATTATTGTTGCCCCCAGCCCACAGCTCGCTGTCAGTGATAAAGCTGTGACTGTCACTGAAATTATTTCTATCGAATTTCAAGGCACCCACGCGATCAGAATCAACTAAATTTAACGACCATCAAGCCAGCCAGCTGACCGTGATTCATGCAACGCACCTGAACGTCGGTGGAGAAAGCGTTGACGTCGCTGGCGTTGACATGTTGAGACATGTAAAGATTAACGAAGTCGCAGAAGTGGTGGTACAAACTCACAGCTGACAAGAAGCAAGACATATTCAATTATTAGGTCAAATAAGATGAACATATCAACGAGTGTTTACAGTAATACTGTCTTTTCAGTGCATGTGAATAGCGGTAAGTAGGCAGTTTCTGATCGATTTAACATATGGTTGAATAAAAATAATTTAGGCTAAATAATGATATAAATACTCCTATGATTGAATACTTGATGCTACAGTAATATCTAAATAAACACTGCAGCAAAACCAAGCTCATCGCGAATATTTTCATTCGCCTAACTCTCGGTTTGAAAAATTCTGGCGTCGGATAATTCGAGCGGTATACATGATACTTCAGATTCATGCTTAGCTAAGGACGAAAAGGCTTTTGCAAAATTGCTCCAAAGTTGTCTGCATTCGAAACGAATTTGGAAGATCAAAGAACGTCGAAAATTCAAGAAATATGGCCAGCTGCAAAAAAAGTGAATCTTCGTGTACCGGGAAAGAAACGGCTTCTGGATAATCGACCGAGATGCTGCAAAGTAAATACTTTGGCCTCATCAAAACCATCGGCAGCCGGGACGAACAGCTCTCAAAATTGCAACGCGAAGTAAACTGCATGAAATCGGAGGCTGAAGAATAAGTGAATATTTTAAAAGAAGCTCTAGCAGAATCTGAGGCGGTGCAGCAGCGCAAGCAACTGATCGATGAGAAGTACGAGACCGCCAAGTGCGACAAAGATGAGCTTGTCTGCAGGATAAAAAAACTCCAGGCTGGCTTTCGTGACAAGAACAAAAACGCAGAGAAGCAGTACCGCTGGGTCAAGTAAAATGTCACTTGCTTAACAAAGCAGAAAGATAAATTGAAACAAAGCCTATCGAAGGCAGAAGAGCTTCAGACTTCTATTGCATGCAACATAGCTGATCTTCAAGCAGAGATTGCAGACGCTAGAGCCAAAATTGAAGAAGCGGAGGAAAAAATTTGCAAATGTAGATCTAGAACCAGTGAGATTGGTTAGTAAATTTGCCAGCTTGAGGCCGAGAGGATCAGCATGGATTCATCGCTGAAGGCCGGCGTAGATAAATATAACGATTTGAAGCACCAGCTAACGGAACAGGAAAAATATATTCGAGAAGCTGAACGAGAGTCTGCGCAACTAAGAAGTCAGTGTAAACGAATTACCGACACCATTGCTGAAAAAGAACGCCAGTTTTAGAGCGCTCGAGCGACCAAGTTCTAGACCATCGGCGACTTGTTCATGTTGAATGATTCAATTCAACAGCTGAAGCTATCAAGCCAGAAGAAGAGAGCGTCCATTGCTCTGAACCACCAAAAAATTGAGCACTGGGATGAAAAAATTCTGCGTAACACCAACGCGCTCGCCGAGACGCTCAACAACAAGAACAAGTGCGGACTGTGTGGCTCTGTCGTGCCCAGCAGACAGTGATTTGTACCTCAAATTTTTTTTAGTGTACAGTAATTGTGAGTGATATTAGTTTAGTGACCAAAGATCAAATGCTATGTAGCGCGTGAATAAATATATCGTTTTATTTCTAATGGATTACCAAAAAGTGTACCTACGTTTTCATTATTTCAAGCAAACTTAATGTTGAAGGAATGTTGACAATGTCGATAGTAATTTGAGGAAAGGGGGCTAAAGAGAAATTTAAATGAAATGTTTCGATGAACTAATTCTGTATAAAGTTGTAAAGATATTTGAGAAAAACTATTTTGAAGATTATGCGAAAGGTTTCTTGAAGGTCTGAAGGACGAAGGTTTTAGTAGTGGCCTAATATTAAGTGAACTAGGTGAGCAGCAGCAGCACATGCTGCAGCCTCTTGTAGATGGTTCATATTAATTGAGCTTTTCAAGTTATGAATGTTAAATTTCTTGAATATGTAATTTTGAAACCCAGTAAAGGAATTCTAAAGATGACAGTTTTATTTTTTTTTATTTTCTAAATGACACTAGGGATATATAAATCAATAAGATAAATTAGAATGAGTGAGCATTTTTGCATTCAACTTAAAAATCGAATCTCCTACATTGCAAAATATTACATTCAAAATGCGCATTGAGTAAAAAGACCATAGGTTATATAGATTATGCAGTGTGTGCTCATTCAATAAAGTAAAAGACTTATTGAATAATTTAACCCTGGACATCACCGGAGCTGAGAACATCCATGTGGTAGCGCACAGGCTGGCTGCGCGTGGCCAAGCTTGTGAGGTTCAGCCAAATGTGTTGGCCTCGGCAGAATTTGAGGTGGTCAGTGCACTCGAGTCTGCTCACCAGCCCTGATTTCTGTAACCATGGGCCATACTTTCAAAACTCGCTAAGTGAACGTAAGTACCTACTTACGCTCTATTTTCTTGTCTATGATTGGTGGGTTTTGCTTGAAAGGCCGTCAATGATTGGCTGATGAACTTACGATCTCTTAACTTTTTTTGAAAGTACCTATGCAGAAGTGAAAACAACGTCAAGAGGAAATTTTATATAAAAAAACATGTAGAATGTTGGGTCACCATAGTATCTCAAAGCATTGGGCAAACTCAAACAATTGTATTTAGCTAGAAAAAACTAACCATGTTTGTCTATTGATAACTCAAGTTACTAAATATTCAGACACAATTAGCATTGATGATCACTATACAAAAGGTAGATATAAAAACTTGCAAAATCTTGGATAACTTTAACAAAAATTGCTCTTGAAATAGAACATACTGATCATAAACATGTAGAATAAAATAAATATAGAAAAAAATAAAAAATATAATATACTGATCATAAACAATACTGATCATAAAGATAAACATACTGATCATAAACACTATGATATTTATTATTTATTTATCTCACCACATCTGAGTGGCAGAAGTCACGAAGCTGCTGCCGCTGTTCTTCTACAAAGCCGAAGTCAGCTTGCTTGTAGAAAAGCTCGAGCTGCTCCTTCTTTGATGTAACCCATCCTGTGAAATACCAACGCCTGTATAAATTTAAAACATATATCAGTATTTGATTGAGCATTTCATGGAAAAAATTACAAGACAAGAACAAAGTGCATAATATAATTAAAAACAGTAGAGAAAAAAAAATTAAATTGAAAATCTCAATGTAAAATGTAAGAATTTGTCACCAGATTTCTTAAAATCATGAAAGTTTATAGCCAAATATATTACATTCAGCGTGAGAAATGATGAAGGCACTTCAGTACCTCTGCTATCTCCATTACAAATAGGCTGGGAATAACTCCAGCTCCTGGTAAAATGGCAGCCATCTTGATAGCTCCAGCAAGTTGAACTGTTGAGGTGTGCCTGAGAAATGAAGTTATACTCAGACATACATAGAAGACATGAGACATAGGTACATAGTTTATACTCAGACATACATAGTTTATACTCAGACATACATAGAAGCTGGCAGTAGTGTATGAGATGTAGCTCCAGATATTGGGATTGTCTTATGCATCCTTTACACTTGGATTGCATTCAAAGAATAACTAGGAATAGAAAAGTTTTGAAATAAATAAAATAGTTGCAATCCTACATTGTACAGCAAAACATTGTTTTATAACTAATTAATTTTTGTTTCAATTTGTTTGCATTTATCTCTGATCATGTAAATGCTTTCATAATATAATAATGGAATCACATGGTCTTATATTTATACAAAAAATTACATATCTTGAAATTTCATGGCTTAAAAAATATTGATGAAAAACTTATGAGTACATAGAAGTAATAGTGTTCATAAAGCAGTCAATTTGAACACAATAAACAGGTATTTGCATTGGCCATTAATCATGATAGCAGACAAGTTTTTTGGAGATTACCCATTATGATTAGAATGAAACCCGGAGTGAAAGATTTGGCTCATGAATATGATGAGTACAACTTCAAATTTGGCATTCACAGCTTAGGAACCTCCCAACTTCAAAGCTCCAAATACCTACTTGCTGCTAGTGCTAGCCTGCTAGGTGAGAAGTCCTTAACTCTGGACAAAATTGGCTAATAGAACTTTGATGAATTCTAGGGTTTGATGCCATGGATATTTTTAGCAACAGTTTATAATTTTTTTCACCTGTTAAGCACAAGAAATTATCTAATAAAGCTATGTAAGTAAAAAATATTATATGTTACCTTAAAATTGCAAGACGCATCATGACGACACTCTTCCTTCAAGTGTGGAATCAAGTTGAATAAGCCAGGAAGATGCTGAGGTGGGAGGTCTAGGTCATCCCAAATTATTCCATGGCAACACATAAAATATTTAAGCAGAAAGCAACAAAGAAGTATACTTTTATCTGTACTCATTGTATTATTCCTCTGCAAATAAAAATACATTTATAAGTAGTTTAAAATTATGTAAATCGTCCAAGAAAGAGAGAAATTTCAGACTAGTTTATACCACACGTTTCAAGAAGTTTCCTAATTTTATTGTACTGGCTCAAATTAAGCATTTTCATCTCTTAATTTTTGGAAATGTACATTAATAAAATTTTATCAAAGATGCAGGTTTGAAATATATATTTCTTTTGTGACAGAAATGGAATTCTCCTTCTTATCAAAATCTTGCAGACATAAAATAACAAATTTCCACTAGATTTGAAACCATGCAGCCCAATCTCTAAATTTTATTCACAATTATATAGGAGGTAGGTAATGCATCTAGCAAGAATTTTGGGGTTCTGTTGTTACCAGAGGTTGAATTAGGCTACTATGTAGCCCAACCTTCACATTTTTCTTCCTCAATAGTCATTTATTCAGTGCTCAATCCAACTCATTTAAATTTAATATTTTTTTTCAGTGTAGATGACTAAAATACAATTTGCAGACTTGAAGTATTTCTACTCAGTATCTCAGCCTGGGCACTCAGTTGCACTGGTGAGTGGCATAAAAATTTATTCCATTTATTAATTGATAATTTAGTTTTGTCATCATTAAATTTGAGTTCTCAATTTATCTTCAAGTGTTCCTTTATTTATCTGAATTCTTGTGATTCTTTTCAATTCAGTCTTTGTTTAAGTACTCCATAGTTTTAAAAATGAATACACAGTATGAAGATGAGTGGCTATTAGTTTTGAGGGAGTTAATGGTTCTTGCCTTGTTTACATCCTACACCTCATCAGTATAGCAGTCATTTACGATTTGTATTTTATTCCATTCTTTCTGTTGCAGTTTCATCTGCTCATCTCCACCTATCCATGCTCCTTATATGCAACTAATAGCACACTTTCACTACACTTTCCAAATTAATTCAACCATTACATTTGCAATTCTATTAAGTTATATGTTCATTTAACTGTTTCATAGTCTTATTCAATACCGTAGTCATTATTTTTAGGGCCAGTCTTTCATTATCCTTCATTTAGAGTAGGGTTGTTGCCATTTAGTTCATCAAGCAGATAACAGGTTCATCTCACCTACAGCACGAGACACTTGACCCAGCAACACCAGAAATGACAGGAAAGCTCTAGTCACAGACTCACAGACTTGTAGCACATGAGTAGTATAGGTAATTTCAAGCCAGTTTTAAGCCACAACTACTTGAACTAGAACTTTACTGTCATTTTTGTAACAGCAAGCTTCCCCCTCAATAGTAAATTACTTCTTAATTGTTAATAAAATGCAAGGTTTGTCCACAAGATTCTAAATCATTAAATATACTGAAAATTTGTCACTTTAGCCTCAAGTTTAGGCCTGCAATATTTTCAAAATAAGTAGGAATATTTGAATATACATGGAGCATATTGACAAGATTGAAGATTGGGTTTTTGTTGGTATGTACAGAGCTGCATACTCCTTTGCAGCCATCTCACAGGACAGAACTCTAGATACAACACAGGAGGAGATTGCCATGGCCTTTTGGTATAAAGGATAACAAGGAAAGGATGGTGGATGGAGGTCCTTACAAGTTACATGAAGCGCAGCATGGGTTGCTGCTTGCCGGTATTGCAGTTCTGCACAACATGGTTGGGGAGGAGCAGAGGGCACAAACTGCTAGTCTTTGACAGGAGATGGAAGTATGGAACCATGTCCAAATCTATGGAAACCATAGCAGCAGGCAGGGGAGCAAGGTAGGAGTGTACTTTAAGTGAGACATTATGAAAGAATACCTTGTCTGGTACTGGCGATGAGCACTTGATCGCTATATGCATCGCTTGAAAACTGCTGTTGTTTGGATCTGCAACTACATGGCTTGGGGCATAGCTTTTTAACCGAGAGAATTTTATTTGCATTTTGGTTAGCGGGGAGGGTAAGCTTAGCTAGGAGATCATCTGCAGTGTAGCGCAGAAGGTACTTGTCCTCTATTTCTGAGAAAACAAATATTACTTCTCCTTGGAAGTTGGAACATGGTAGCTCTTTAGGGATATGAATTTTGTATTTAATTTTATTGTGTTCATAGTAGTGCTCTGAGTTAGTAAACTGGTTTACTTTATTGGCCAGTACTTCCCCGTGATTAGGGTGCCCTTCCAAGTTCACATTTCGACTAAGGACACGGCCAGACTGAAAACTTTCACCCGTACACTGACGCTTCAAGCAGAGCGGTGCCGCACGTGCATAAGGTGTCCAACCAAGACGCTGGACCACGCATGCTTGCAGCAGTTGCAGCTTACTGCAAATCAGTATGTATAAATGAGTGTCAGCAAGCGACTAACAGTTTTATCCATTCTCCTTGATGAAAGTTTTATAGGAAAAAAAAGATCAATATAAAAATCCCATATATACTTTGCTTTGTCTTTATTGAGATCCATTCAGATGAGATTAGATAGATATTTTGATAGGTTATATATGATGCATACATTGCAAGTCCAACCTCAATACAGATAGACTTGATGCTCATGTGCAATTTTTTAATTTAAGAAGTAATTCAAATAAGCTTGTTTTTTATTTTCCTTCTTTATTTTGTCTTCATTTATATAATATATGCATATCATGTTGAACATGTTCATGTCGTGGTGCTGTGGGTGAGAGTGGATTGCACTTGCCGTGTCGATGCCTGAATTGTCAAGAGCAAGGTCTTCGACATCTCCCCTCCTCACGGCTGCTTGAAAGTTGAAGGACTCTCACACTGTCGCGCGTTGCCACGCCAAAATATTTGTCTCGAGGAATGTCGACTTTTTACCGCGCGGCATAGCATCTGTACCCTTGAGAGGCTGAGACAGCTTCTGCCAGTAAGCCTTTAGTGTGGCCACTCTGGTACTGGTAGTGTGGTGGTACTGGTAGAACCGTAGAAATACATACATACTGTATAATATCGAAGCGTAAGCGCGCATATGCCTGCGTACGTGTCAACGCTTTTAATCTGGCCCTACCCTAAGACTATTGGGTTTAATGAACTGTAGTGCTGGCCAGCTTTTGGATATTTG